ACATACTGTGTTGGAAAATCAGAAGTATGTTATAGCGACTAATTCAGGACAGCCATCATATAAATATTTAAAAGTCCAAAAACTATATAGTCAAGACTATTGTAATTATTTATATGACGTTAATCTGTATTTTTAATCACTACTGTATTCCTTATGGTGTCGTCTCAGGACGCTGATCTTTCGATTTTCCACTAGTCTCCAGGACGCCGAGCTGCCGTTTCCTTTGAAGGTTAGGTTCTGATTAGGCGTAATTAGGGTTGCGATAATCTACTCAAGATGTTTTGATAAGGTGAACTCGTCGCACAAGGTGAACATATCGCGGCTCTCATGTCACTTACAACTGATTGAAAAGTTTACAATAACAATTAGCAGGGTGCTAATATTGAACACTGTTCCTATCTTTGGTATAAATATCTATGGAATGGCCAGTGGATTCACATTCGATTTCGAAATGGCAAATGCACAGCTAATTCAGAGATTCATCCCAACAGATCGCGGCTGTCGTTACTTGGCTGTTGGCGGGTTCAACAAGAGAAAACGAGACGGGATATCATTGGATATATACTGTGAAACACTGCAAATCAGATGGGCCAAGAACCAACAACCACCTGGAAGGGTGGCATTCACTGTAAAAAGTGTTACGTTGTGGCATTCATGTCTGAAGAGATACGTCGGCAAGGCTGACCCAAACATCTTTGAGATCGTGTCGTTCCTCTCACGAGAAGAGACCAGCACGGAAAACAAGCTGGTCCAGCACGCTGCATCCGTCACCAGCTCGGACAAGGAACACTGTCCATGAGACAGTTGGTCCATTACGCTGCATCCGTCACCAGCTCGGACAAGGAACACTGTCCATGAGACAGCTGGTCCAGTACGCTGCATCCGTCACCAGCTCGGACAAGGAACACTGTCCATGAGACAGCTGGTCCAGTATGCTGCATCCGTCCCCAGCTCGGACAAGGAACACTGTCCATGAGACAGTTTGCTGCTCCAGCATCCCACCTGTTGCATTTGGGTTAAAATCTGTGGATCAATCTTTGTCAAAAAATGTGTGCTATATGTATCATGTATACGCATCAGATATGTGGTGATATGAAGGACAGCTATCACTGAATTATGTGGGTTTATTCCAGCTCAAGATGGGCTTACATAACAAGCATGGCAAGACAGTGGCCATGTGCTCTCAACTCCTAGAACAAGGGCAATTAGAGTTATCCACCTTACACTACAAATAGCACTGGGGCCCAGTTGGGAATAGAGGCCCATTTAGGGTTGTACAGTTTATAGTAGAATAGCTGATACCACAGGATATGCGATGTATTTATTAAAAATGTCATGTATTTACTTATGTGAATCATTGTAAAAAAATATCGGCGTCCTGAGTATAGTTTCATTTTGCCACAATGAAACTATTATCAGGACGCCGCTATATTTTTTTCACTCAACCGTGAAGTTTGGTTGAAAGGTCGGCGTTATGAGCCTGAACCATCCTTATCACTGCTGCATTGTACATTGACTTGTCAGCCAATTAATTACTGTTTATGACATTTATAGCCTTGGCTGAGTCAAGGAAGTGCTATTGTTTCTCTATCTGTCCATTGTTGAGTCATCGCCTGTCCGTTGTTGTCAAAAACTGTATATATATGCTTACATCTATATTGTCAAGCAGTTCATTATTCCAACTGTCTGTGTAGGGACAACCGCGAGCAGGATAATGCCTCTCATAGGAAACGCCCTGGGGTTGAGCTGGAACTCCGCTGACCTCATTTATGTCTGAGCCGGCAACCCAGCTTATTTCTGTCTTGTATACTTGTTTGAAATGTTTGAAACTCAACGTACTCCTTCGTCTGCGTATACTTCGTCTTAATTCCGAGCTAGTTCCCCTGTCGACCATAGGTACGCGTTGATAGGTATATAACGAAATCATAATAGCTCTAAATTTGATTTAAAACCAAACGCGTATATACCCGGTACCTCTGATTTTCCAACACAGTAAGTTTATATCCATTTTACCATAACCTCAGTATTAAGATTTTAAAAAAAGTACATTTTGTGTTGGAAAATCAGAGGCATATAACGTGATTATATACCTCCGAATGACTTTCACTAACCAATCACAATCCTGTATTTACTGAAGTCATGGTTGAATAAACAATTACACATTGATAAATGTGTTATTAGTTTGTACTTTACTTCTAAAATAAATGTTTAAAAAAAAAATCCTTCCTATCCTAAATTTTAAAGAGGTGTAATCGGATCCACAATTTTTTTATTTGGCCTTGAGAAGCATGCAAAGTTCAGCTCCCTCAGTCAGCATGGCCAGGCAGTTTCATAGATGTTTACAGAAAGAAAGATACAATTTATGAGATTTTAAGAGCATGGTCTAAATAACCTTCGCAGACGACATATTGAAAATTGGATTTCTTCTGGAACAAATTAGTCAGACAAACATGCGAGGATGGTGAAGCTTGAGTTTTGGGGGTCCAGTGGTTTGAGGAAATGCTTACTGAACAGCACATGCATGAAGTCACTTGACTTTTAGTCGTAGCGAGAGGTGGGTCCAGCATGTTGATAGAATGTGTCACACATCAAACACAACCTATTTTAGTAGCATTAACATGTTCCATGCATCATATTTCATATTTCATGAATCCGACAGCAAAACTGCAACTGCCTATGATTATGATAATAAATCGAGTGGCTAAAAAAGTATACTGAGTTTGCTTGTCTATGTAATGTGCCTATGTAAACTTATATTTGATGTCACTCTTTTCTGTAACAGTTTTTAAATACTTAAATGTGTGCTGAAAAAAAGAGAGAGCAAATTTATTAATTTTCAAAATAAGATATCATACCCATCAACAGTTGTATATTATTTGAATAGTTTAAAAAATTGTGTACATCCCGTCAGCTGAGTGGGTAGGATTGCTAAATATGTGTGATCATGAATATGTGCCTAACCAACACAGTACCACAATTTTAAATGTTACTGAGACAGTGCAATCCCAAATATAGCATATTCACTGTCATATTGGACTTTAAGTAGCTTTTGAGTTCCCTTGGTGATAAAATGTTGTTTAACATGGATAGCTCTGAGTGTCTGGCAAATTAGCAGGCAATTTATAGCTAGTGACTGACTGACTGAGTTTGGCTTTACGCCGCTTTTAGCACTATTCCAGCAACATCATGGCGGGGGACACCAGAAATGGGCTTCACACGTTGTACCCATGTGGGGATTCGAACCCGGGTCTTTGGCGTGACGAGCCAACCCTTTAACCACTAGACCACCCCACCACCCCTTATGGCTAGTGACAGCAATTGACATCAATAGTGTAATTGTTCCACAGAGGACAGGTAATCTATGTGATGGATCGGTAACCAGTGACTGAGAATCATCAGGGATTTACCACTTTTTGGGGTCCAGGGGCCTCTCAATAAAATATTTCTTGAGTCCCAGACTATATGAATATGGTGTGCTTCAATAAGATAACACAAAAATACTATGTAATAATGATTACTACAAATATATAAATTTGGGTTGGTACAGATTCATATTTTTCTAAAAACAATTTTGATCTATATTTCCAATGAGACAACAAAGATTGTACAAGTAAATGCTGTGCTCTCTGTCAACCTAAAAGCTATCGTTTCTTGACATGCATTTATCTATTTATCTATCTAAATGTACACACAAAAAAACCCCTTAAAAGTCTTAATTTAAGAGTAATGTCTCCATTTGTATTGTCTTAAATGTTTGAGTGACAGAAAAATCTGTTTCATATAATAAAATTTCTTTCCTGAATTTGAAATTTGTGTTTTGATCATTTGTTTTTTGAACATTTAACAATATTTCATTTCAATATGTACAGACAAAATTCACACCATTTGATCTTTACTTCAGGAAATACAAGCCTCAAAGTGTACTTATTGACAAAGCTGCCACATGGGTAGAAACAGTTTATTTAAAAAGAAAGTCAAGCCAATATCAAAATTAAGAAGTCAAAAACATTCATAATTACCTTTTAGGAATCTCTTTCAAAGAATTTACAAAATTTCCCTTCATGGATTTCTTTTGGATTGTCAATCATCTCTGCAATGCAAAGTTCTCACACTTCGAGAATGTGGACACTTCATGTTTAAATGCCAACTACTAAATACGAAGTTTGTCTAGCTGGCATTAGCAGGTTCTGCAGAGGAATGTATTACAGTCATAGCATTTGTCATATTTCATTAGTCATTCTTTATTTACGTTTTCTTTTCATGAGAACGTCTGTACCAGTATGTCCACACTCATATTGCAGCTGAATATAAAATGTCTCATCCAATAATAGCGGTGGAAGGTACACAGCTGTTGTCTTAATGTAATGTCATCGGTAATGACCATTCTGGGGTGGCAGTGTCAAACCAATTAGCAAAAATTACTGACAATTTTCACCTTTTATACAACCTGCTTCAGAGAGTATAGAGAGTCATCTAAGTGAAGGTAGTCTTAACCACTGTTATTATACAATTATACCAGAAATGGGCTTCACACATTGAGCCCATGTGGGTAATCGAACCCGGTTCTTCAGCGTGACGAGCAAACACCTTAACCACTAGGCTACCACCCCATTCAGGATCCAGGATCCAGGATCTTCTGTTTGTCATAGCCGATATCATACCCTAATCTTCTTGGAGTATGTTTACCATATCCTGCCACTCAAATTATTAAAGCTCAGGCTGAAATTTATAATATTTGTTGATTAGGAATATATTTGCCCTTTCTGTTGGGGCAACTTAAAAGTCCTTTTCCGCCCTTTAACAACATGCATGGGCTGTCTTTGCTGGACAGTTATTTTCTTTATTAAAACTGCTGTTATATATTACATGTTCAACAACGAAATACCGAATGCATATAACATACGAACAACAAAGATCATCTTTAGTCACCGAAATGTTTTAAACTACTCTAATACATACTGGTCATATCAGCCTTGGCTCAGATTGAACAGTGTACTTACCGTGTAGGCGCCGATCCGGCAGAGTCCACACAATAACTGAATGTTGTCACACATGTCTAACAACCACTGATGCAACTACACGACCACGAACTACGGGAATCAAGTCTAAAACAACATTCGCTTTTTAAGGTCTGTTACAGTCAAGATCGAGAATGGAATGTCAGACTTTCAGGAACTGGTGGCATCAAGACGAGATCGGTCGAAGCACAAACGTAATGACGAGAAAAATCAAACCATTTTCTAGAGCAGCCCGTCAATTACTTTACTTCGTCCCGTGGTGTCTGCATTATGATATTATCCACTTGCCTCTGTCGAACAAGTTTGGGCACAAGTGCAACCTAGTGCAGCACGAAACGTCAGAAAACATTAAGTATGGCGGTTTTTGACGTACTACACTATAATCGATGACGACGCGCACCTGCCAGTTGAGGCCCATTTAGGGTAGGATTACAATCCGCCCAACTTGACAGAGCTGTGTTTGTGCAATGTTGTATGTTTCTAAGACCAAGCTGGTGCTATATGAATACCTATTCCATAATAATACGCTTATACAAATGACAGCAGACTGCCGGGGGACTTATGTGCGACAGTAACAGATACCTTAATTGGGCCTATTATGCTGTGTCCGTACACATGACCGTTGTTTTCTTTACCAGAATAAAGCTTCTCCTGGTATTACCAGAGTCGTTTAAAGTATGACAGTGTAAGGTTGATCTTAAAAAATATAGAACTGTGTATAGTGAGCAAATGTCAATAAACATAAGAATCAGAGTGCTCTGCAATATACATACAGTATACATACATGGACAAATGGACTTCCGTAGCTACTTCACAGTTTCTAAGTGACAACACTGCTTCCCCTTTTACAGATAAGCATTATGCACGCAGAGATATAACAATACCATATTTCAGTGACTTTACCCAAATTTAGCGTTCTTTTATATGTCCTCACGGTGTGAATCAAAGTCCACAGTGGCGAGTTTCCTATAAACTGAGAAGCAAATGTATGTCGAGTTTATGTAGTGGTGTGCTATATTTGCTATCTAGAAAGTAACCCTATATATATATATATTATTGTTCTTCAACAAGGAATGTGCTTAAAATGTTCCTAACATGTGCCTTAATTACTTGGTGTGATGTCAAGCTGGTCATATTTGGCCAATTCGACCAGTTCAGAATTTTTGAGCATAGAGACTTGTTCCGGAGATTGCTTACACTAAGGGGCCGTTCATAACATATGGCGGGGTGGGGGTTGGGATGATATGATGATGATTTTATGATAAATTATGAACGGCCCCTAAACAACATAGTTTCACACAATATTCAACAATGAAAAAATGCAGTCCAAACATTTTGACAAATAACTTTACTTTCTATCCCCGACGAGCCCCATATTCCTGGTACGTGTTGATTCCAAAGTAAGAAATATAAATAAACGGCATATATAATATTCCAGCTATATGGCGGCGGTATTTAAATAATCGAGTCTGGGCCAGACAATGTGATCAACAGCATGAGCATCGATCTACGCAACTGGGATACGATGACATGTGTCAACCAAGTCAACGAGCCTGGCCACCCGATCCCTTTAGACGCCTCTTACGACAAGCATGGGTTACTGAAGATCAATTCTAACCCGGATCTTCACGGGTATATCAGGCATAGAACACACCATTACAGTAAACATAACATAAATATAACAGCGCCTTGTTTGCGTCCGTTAAAGAATACAAACGGCTGTGGGTTGTGAGGCCGATACGTTTATTCTGGTCTATTTATTAAACAGCCTGAAAGAACATATAAGAAAGTATATTAAATGGAATCACATAAATATGTACATGTTCAAATCACTCATTAAGTATATAAGATACATCTAGTTAAATACATCTGAACTATGTCACAAGTTATAATGTTACATAATATTAATACAAATATACAACAATCATAAAGACATACTGTAGGTATCTTTAGGAAATATTGTAGTAAATACATTTCTGGTATATAGGGAATCTGGTCAGGTATTACATACCAGGCTGGTTGTACCCAAGCTGATCATAATGGAGGATATTCTTCTGAATGATCACACTCACAGATCTGCATAACAAATACGTATGTATGCAGAGAACAATATATATATACAAGATATATGCCTTCTGCCTTGATATGATATAAAATAATGTTTAAAAGTACAATTGCATTCGCCACACAAATAAAACATGAAATCACATGTAATATTACATATATGTGTCAATCAATCACACATATCAAACATACGGGCATGCATTCAAGCGGACTAGTAATTACTTTTATAAGTTGTCTAATATTTAGTTGATATACGTTTAGGATTGCGTTCAATACATAAACAATACATATACTCACAATAATACAGTGATCTGATAGTTCATCTTCAACTATACATATTTATAAGATATATTATATTTCAAGTAAACCAAGTCTGACTTACATGCCACTATAATTATATTTCTAATTATAGTAAACAAGAAACTGTCCATATATACAACATTTTATACAATATGAACCAACCTTAAATCGTCATAAAATTCCCATGACTCTGGCTATATCTCTCCTTCAACAGTACAAGACGGCATCTGAGTTTAAAATCTGAACATTGTAGTTAAGCTGTGGCCAGCTTGGCCTATCAGTAAAACAATAGAAATGACTGAGAGCTGGAGCAAAGAGTGTTGAAAGCATGCAGTGTGACAATTAGTGGAGGTTAGACTGACAGTTACAAGGCTTACTATGCAGAGCTATGGACTAAGAGTAAAATAAAGTATAAAACATAACTAAGATTCTTATTACAGATGTTCTTATTGTTTTGGAAACAGTACATAGAGTGAGTCATTAAAAGTGGAAACAATGCCATCCACCTTGATACTTAATATAATCTTCCTAACTAAATCGGTGCTCCTATGTACATATATAATATAGCTTTATTTGAGAGCGGCGTTAAACATTCAAACAAACATACATAAACATAAATGGAGAAAAGGGGCAACAGGGTTCGATGTTGCACCTGTAATCATGCCTGGATGTGCTGATCGGGGTTTTTACGGATTGCAGAATTGTCATCGTTATGATCCAAGGTTACCAACTGGAAACATGTATGCCCACCATGTCGGAAAAGACTCCCAAGAGTGTAACATTATGGTAATATGCGGGGTACTTTGGGACTAATAGCATGATTCGCTTTGCGAACCTTCAAATTTCTTGTGAAGCTTTCATTCGTGTGTTTTGTTTTTTTTTTTGTTTTTTTTACGCAGTATATAGCAATATTCCAACTACATGATGATTGTCTGTAAATATTCGAGTCTGGGCCAGACAATTCAGTGATTAACATCATGAGCATCGATCCATGTAACTTATAAATAACGTGGGGCCTGCCCCAGTGACTGTAATTTAATATCGGTGCCACTGTATTCAGTGACGTAGAACCTTTCACATATTATCAGGTTACATGTTTGTATGGACCAAGCATGCTCTCGTATTTCCAATATTACTCGTAATTCCATATATTCCATATTTCTATGTACTCGTATATTGCAGGATTATACATTCCAGCACTGTCTGTAACACCAAGAAACAGGCAATTAAAGTGTGTATTGGTAGATACTTCATATTAAATTTCGGCTAAACCCCAAATTGAAAAGAAAATCACTGCAAATAACAATTTAAATTTTGACAACCGTGTTTTCATCTCGTCTGGTTTTATTATGGACATAAAACAATAACTGACAAAACTCATCATATTATGGACATATCAAACACTAACTGACAAAACTCGTCATATTATGGACATATCAAACAGTAACTGACAAAACTCATCATATTATGGACATATCAAACAGTAACTGACAAAACTCGTCGTATTATGGACGTATCAAACAGTAACTGACAAAACTCGTCATATTATGGACATATCAAACAGTAACTGACAAAACTCATCATGTTATGGACATATCAAACAGTAACTGACAAAACTCATATTATGGACATATCAAACAGTAACTGACAAAACTCATCATATTATGGACATATCAAAAGTAACTGACAAACTCGTCGTATTATGGACATATCAAACAGTAACAGACAAAACTCATATTATGGACATATCAAACAGTAACTGACAAAACTCGTCGTATTATGGAAATATCAAACAGTAACTGACAAAACTCATCATATTATGGACATATCAAACAGTAACTGACAAAACTCATCATGTTATGGACATATCAAACAGTAACTGACAAAACTGATATTATGGACATATCAAACAGTAACTGACAAAACTCGTCGTATTATGGACATATCAAACAGTAACTGACAAAACTCGTCATATTATGGACATATCAAACAGTAACTGACAAAACTCATCATGTTATGGACATATCAAACAGTAACTGACAAAACTCATATTATGGACATATCAAACAGTAACTGACAAAACTCGTCGTATTATGGACATATCAAACAGTAACTGACAAAACTCATCATATTATGGACATATCAAACAGTAACTGACAAAACTCATCATGGAAATTATGGACGTATCAAACAGTAACTGACAAAACTCGTCATATTATGGACATATCAAACAGTAACTGACAAAACTCATCATATTATGGACATATCAAACAGTAACTGACAAAACTCATCATATTATGGACATATCAAACAGTAACTGACAAAACTCGTCATATTATGGACATATCAAACAGTAACTGTAAACTCGTCATATTATGGACATATCAAACAGTAACTGACAAAACTCATCATATTATGGACATATCAAACAGTAACTGACATAACTCATCATGTTATGGACATATCAAACAGTAACTGACAAAACTCATATTATGGACATATCAAAAGTAACTGACAAAACTCGTCATATTATGGACATATCAAACAGTAACTGACATAACTCATCATGTTATGGACATATCAAACAGTAACTGACAAAACTCATATTATGGACATATCAAAAAGTAACTGACAAAACTCATCATGTTATGGACATATCAAACAGTAACTGACAAAACTCATATTATGGACATATCAAAAAGTAACTGACAAACTCATCATATTATGGACATATCAAACAGTAACTGACATAACTCGTCATATTATGGACATATCAAACAGTAACTGACAAAACTCATATTATGGACATATCAAACAGTAACTGACAAAACTCGTCGTATTATGGACATATCAAACAGTAACTGACAAAACTCGTCATATTATGGACATATCAAACAGTAACTGACAAAACTCATCATGTTATGGACATATCAAACAGTAACTGACAAAACTCATATTATGGACATATCAAACAGTAACTGACAAAACTCATCATATTATGGACATATCAAACAGTAACTGACAAAACTCATCATATTATGGACATATCAAACAGTAACTGACAAAACTCGTCGTATTATGGACGTATCAAACAGTAACTGACAAAACTCGTCATATTATGGACATATCAAACAGTAACTGACAAAACTCATCATATTATGGACATATCAAACAGTAACTGACAAAACTCATCATATTATGGACATATCAAACAGTAACTGACAAAACTCATCATGTTATGGACATATCAAACAGTAACTGACAAAACTCATATTATGGACATATCAAACAGTAACTGACAAAACTCGCTCGTGTATTATGGACGTATCAAACAGTAACTGACAAAACTCTCGTCATATTATGGACATATCAAACAGTAACTGACAAAACTCATCATGTTATGGACATATCAAACAGTAACTGACAAAACTCATCATGTTATGGACATATCAAACAGTAACTGACAAAACTCATCATGTTATGGACATATCAAACAGTAACTGACAAAACTCATATTATGGACATATCAAACAGTAACTGACAAAACTCATATTATCATATTATGGACATATCAAACAGTAACTGACAAAACTCATCATATTATGGACATATCAAACAGTAACTGACAAAACTCGTCGTGATTATGGACATATCAAACAGTAACTGACAAAACTCGTCATATTATGGACATATCAAACAGTAACTGACAAAACTCATCATGTTATGGACATATCAAACAGTAACTGACAAAACTCATCATATTATGGACATATCAAACAGTAACTGACAAAACTCATCATGTTATGGACATATCAAACAGTAACTGACAAAACTCATATTATGGACATATCAAACAGTAACTGTAAACTCATCATATTATGGACATATCAAACAGTAACTGACAAAACTCATCATGTTATGGACATATCAAACAGTAACTGACAAAACTGATATTATGGACATATCAAACAGTAACTGACAAAATATTATGGACATATCAAACAGTAACTGACAAAACTCATCATATTATGGACATATCAAACAGTAACTGACAAAACTCATCATATTATGGACATATCAAACAGTAACTGACAAAACTCATCATATTATGGACATATCAAACAGTAACTGACAAAACTCATCATATTATGGAATATAGATCTGTGTCCGATTTCAGAGGACACAGGTATTACCTGTCCCGAATGTAGGCCTAATCTCTCCTTTGAAGTCCATATCAATTATAGCTGTCAACCCAAAATGTGTACAATAAGGGAAAAGTGAGGGCTTTTTTCATATTTTTGACTGTATTTTGGTCGTTATAATATAACGATATCTAGACAGTACTTTTACGGGGAAAAATATGTGATATATATATACTAGCAGTATATACTGGCTGTGAGAACGTGATTTTCATTAAAAGAACGTGAGACTCGCCGCAAAAACGTGAGTGTTGACAGGTTTGACTAAATTAGTCTAAATGACAAAGTACTGATTTCTTCAAAGTTGTTATGTATTCTGGTTCATCCCATACATTGGTACAGACAAAACGGATTCCTTAGGTTTATCTTCCTGTGTTCTTGCACTTTCTACACGAACAAATTAAAACTTAGTGCTTATTTATTTGACCACGAGAGGCTTAACATGTGCACATGAACTGATGACGTGGAACGCAGTATTGTTGACTGGGTAACAAAATGGCGGAAGCAGCAGTGGAGAGTTCAACTTCAGAGAGATTTTACTGCCACCAGTGTACCCAAGAGATAACACCGAAGTTGCCGGTGCGTATATGTTATATTTGGGTATCTCTCTATCTATATTTATTACCTTTATATTGTTTTGTTCTTTGTGGTTGTTTCAAAGGGCGTGTCGCGTCACGATATGGGACAGTGGTATGGTCATGTAAGTTCTCGTCTTTACTTTTGCTTTCTATGTTTATCCCTATTTCATCATATGCGTTTGATAAAATGAAAAGCCACAGTTTAGACTCAGCATAAATTGAGGAGAAGTGAAACTGTGTGGTACAGACTTTTTATTTGAAAACGAGTCAGTGACACAGACCACATTATCAAACATACCAACACATCCTTATCGACTTGATATATTCGGTTTCGTAGATACGCTAGCAGATATTATCTGTACCAGATCCCCAAAACAGAGATATCCTGTTCATACCCACACAGATATAGATGATGAAGTCAGTCCCAATATTTAGGTGTTCCAGGAGTGATCATCTCAGAGAGAAATCATTGGACTGAGTTTGGATATTCTGCTATCAGTATTCATGTGAAATTGATGTTATTTCAGATATTTCTTTTCAAAATCACATATGCAAGTGCTGCTCTAATGAAAAAAAAATTAATCAAACAGTTTGAACCTAACTTCAGAATCCAATATCAGAAGTAATGAAATCACACTGTACTGATTTCTTTCACTACTGTTGACATGATTAAACAGTGATAAACAAGCAATGTGGTATGACTGGTTCAGCAACAAAATCATACTAAGAGACACATTTGGACTAGATTGTATGGACAATTTCCAGATAAATGGAAAAATCAGCATTTCTAGAATTTATTTAATTTTGTTCCATCTCTGCAAACACTTGGTTTGCCTTCCCTTACTGACCTGAAACATACGTCTGTCATGTTTCGTGTCAGTAGATGTCCTCAAGTGTGCTAGTTTAGAAATCATAGTAATCAAGTGGTAATGTAGTTATAAACTACTTGTGATTCAAGCTGAGAATCAGTTGTAAGTTATGTTTAGTAATCAGTAGGACCTGAAACAGATGAATACTGAAACCAGTATTTGCATGTGGTACTAGAGGCTGCTGAAAATGAGATGGCAGTATGTGATGGATGCAGTCCCATGATTGCACTATCTTGTTAAGTGCTTCTGTTTGTCCTTCATTTTCAGATTGCAATGCAAACTTCCTGGTTGTGAAATGGATAAATAATGAAATAAAACCTAACATTTCAGTTATTTCTTTGTTCTTCAAACAGTTAACTGTAAGAAAAATATATATATGTAGATATAGAAAAGAATGTTTTATTATTATGAATAAATTTTGGGGTAGTTGTAGTTAAGGTTTGACTGCACCCTCTTACTCACCAGTGGCAGATTCTAACAGTCTATTATATTTTGGGGTGTTGTAAAGAACTTTCACCAGTGGCAGATTCTAACAGTCTATATTGAACATGTTACTTGAATTCGGAATGAGGGACACTTGATTCTAGGGACAGGGTTCTAACATTTTCAGATTATCATAAATTGTTAATGGAATATGTGTCAAATTCTACAAATTCAGTGAATTCACAATCAAATGTAATCCAAACTTCATATAAACAGTGTTGCGTCTGGAGCACGTATTTGTGTATCTGGCGCATGTTTTTATTTTTGTATGCAAATTTACAAATTAATGCATCAGAATATTTGCAGAATTGAAAATTTAGATGCAAAGTTACTTATGTACCGCATATATAACGGTTAAAATTATCGCCTGTCAATCCCGTCTAAGAATATTCTGTCGCATAATTTCTTGAATCTAAAAATAGCAGTAACATCATTGATCAATTGGAAAGGATCGTAGACATTCGGAACTATCACTATAAATAAATGCAGTTCTCTTATTGGTCAAATTAGATACAAATACCATCATCGGAATTTCTCGGCAGCGATCCCCTTGACCTTGATTCTGGTCACGTGGTGTTATGCTTAATGTTTTGTCGGCAAATTACAGTGAGGTATTTTAACTCGAAGATAGTGTTGTACTGTTTGATAAGTTTAATTATCACAATGGCAACATCGAAGAAAGTCCGTAGAATAACAGATTTCTTTGGAAGTCGTCAAAGTGAAAGCAGACAGGACGACTGTCACATCAAAACTTCAGCTGTTCAAGACGAGCGGAAAATGGCGGCGATCATGATGCTGATGCAGAAATGAATGAAACTTCGCTTGATGATGATTCTTGTGTTACGGGAGCATCGACTGACGATAAAGGTGGACCCACAAAAGACTTGGAACCGAAATATATTCATTAATTTCGAAGTGAATGGCTTTAAAAGTTTGATTGGTTGGATTTTGACGAAAGCACTGGGATCATGACCTGCAAACTTTGCAAAAGCACTGAACTGGATCATTTGACCTGCAAACTTTGCAAACAGTTAACAGAGCTACAAACAGTAGTGTCCACAATTGACAAGTTTGACTTCAGGAAGGCTGTTTCTAAGTGGAAGGCCAAGAAGGAGAGAAGAATTTTCAAACATTCTAATTAAAGACTTAAAGGGGTCCACTGTGTAGATATTTAACAGATCTAAGGGTAAGTTTGCAGAAAATAAAATTATTTACTTAAATATTTCTAAAAATAATTAAATATCAGTATAATCACACTTCTAAGTTATTTTATGTACACTATAGTATGCACATAATAGCATGTGCACACCAATATAGGTGTTTGGCACAGAAATTGAAAGGTAGTGAGTCAACTGGCTCAAAAACAGCAAATCCTAGATGCAACACTATAGATATTAAAGACAATTAGACCTGCAGCGACGGCAGGTCTGCTACTGTGACATGACATGACCTGATCTAACAACAAGGGAGACAACCAAATGGCCCCACTGAAGATACTTCTTAAAGCATTTTTCATGCTGTTTTGTGATCAAAAACAGTCAATTCAAAACAATGTATTTTTCCAGAATGTTTTGCACAGTGCTATGTGTTACCATTTGTGTTGTTGTTGATAAACTGATCCTATTCGCCTTGTATTCAATATTAGTCTGCTCAGGTTTATTGTGTGGTATGTCTAAAATTAAGATGATATTTGCATTGGGATGGGAAATAAATAGTTGTTTTTCTGATATTTTTACCCATTTTGCTTTTAAATTGTTTAGGGGTCTGCTGATTTGTGAACATGGTAAACCAGTTTATAACAAAGTATTACCCGATCATTTGGTAAGATTGCTTTTCTCTGTAAAAAGTGTTATGTTGTGTGACCAAATATGCTTGTTATGTCATTTTCTCTCAGAAAGTCTTCAAAATAGGCAAACCAGACACAGTGTCAATCATGTTAATCATGCATTGATTAATGGTGTGTAACCAGTAAATTGTTCTGTAATGCTACTGGTAGACATTATGGAAATGTTTTGGGTTGTCATGGTTTGTATTGGTACTACAGCAGTAGTTGTGAGGATATTCAACATGTTTCTACATAGATGGTGCACTAGTATAACTTATGTTGCTGCTTGGTAGAGGTGACAGAAAACAGGACTAATAAACAAAAAGAAGCTGTTGCGTTTTGTTTTCCTTTTTTGCTTTGAGTGAAATATGAAATAAACTTTAATTTTAAAAAAGGGAATTTTAAGAAAACCCCAAATTTTGAACAGCTACCTTTCTTTCCTAATTTATCAACCAATGGCACTCAGTTTGAAACCTTCAAACGTCACTGTGGGGATCCCTCTTATCAAGGTTGTATATCTGGGCAGTGTCATTAAAGTGTGAATTAAATGACCTTGAATGCCTTGTGGAATTTTGTGACCAGTGTATGATCTTTTTTCTGAATCCCAGTTAATGTTTTGTTGGGTTATTTTTCAATACAGAAGAAGTTAATACAATTACTGTTTTTGTCCTCCCAAAGCAAAGTTTGCACTTCTTTGATAGCATAAAGGGCACTAAATGTGAAAAAAACCCAGGTCAGAGCCTTTCAAATTTGAATTCCAGTACCGCATTATGGAAATTCATCCCTAAGAGAAGATGCATAAGCTCAAGGTCTCCCAAACTGATGAAATCTGACTATGTTATTCACCGTTACATTAACGTAAAGTATACATGTACAGATGTAGTTTGTGTTTGTGGATGGATGCTGTGGTTGCCTTGGTTTTTATCATGTCTATCACAGATTCTTGTAGCACATGACTGCATGTTGCTCACAGTAATATAAACTCTATATGTGGACATGTACAGATGTAGCTGTGTGATGCTGAATGATCTTTGGTTGCCTTGGTGTTTATCTATGTTTCTTGTATCCCAGGACTATACGTGCCCACGTTGTGATGGAGGTTTCATTGAACAAATGGCCGAGTGAGTATACTATGTTATCCATTGTTATGTTACCTGTTCTTAAGTACTTGTGGACTTAATATTTACTATTATTTAGTAATACTAGTGTTGGGAATTGGTTAAAATCCCATAATTGATGATTGGTTCATTACAACCGATCAATCATCGAAAATGATTGGTTAGCATAATTTATGAAATTTTCCTGGTTATTTTTGTTTGCGCAAAAACAAAAAAAAAAAACATGTTGTTCTTTGATTTTTGGGGGGCAAATTGCACATCTTTAAAGGATGACTAGTATGTTAGGAACATTAATTTCTTGGAGTCTTTAAGATAAATTCAATCATGACTTGGAACGAGCTTGTAGTGCTTGTGAAATGTACCAGACAAAACCAACCTTGTGAAAAGTGTTGTTAATGCAAAAAGTTTTCAAGAATTGTTTGTGTTCGATTATGAGAAAACATGATCGATTGCTTGGTCGTTTAGTCACTACAACCAATCTTCGATTATTTCAATTTCAATTAATCGGACCACCACTAAGTAATACCAGTGATGTTTTAGTGATTGGTTTATCAATTCATTGATTAATGATCAGTTGCCTTATACTAGTACTGTGATTCATTGCGTTCATAATTGTTATTTGATTGATTTAAAATTTGTGGTAAATGTCTGTATCACATCTGCAGAGGAAACTGCCATGTAATTACTGTCATATTCTTTTCAAAGTGCAGTAAAGCCGACCTATGTGAGTGCAGCTTGAAGCTGTGTTATACAGTATTGTCATACTTTTTCTAAGCCCTGTAAAGCCTCACTCACTGAATGTGTGTTACATTATTGCCAGTCAGTATTATCCTGATTATGTTAAATGTGTTGGAAAGTCCATACTGGTGTATTGACAGTGTATGGGAGTAACAATTCACCAGAGTCACGAACAGATGTTACAGGATATGTTACACAGAATGCATGTTTTCATTCTTATATGTAGTACACATAAATAGGCTATGTAGTACACATAAATAGGCTATGATGGGTGGAAAAAAAACTCATCAGTTCAACGTATTTTGAGCCATCATGTCATGGATGGAAAAGTTGTCTTTAAGCAATCAATTTAGGTTGTTCATAGTCTTGACATATCAAGGGGTATTGTTTTCTGCCAACTACACTTGGTTTTAAGGTATGCGTGGTTGCAATATGACTGTCAGTACTCTGAATAAGGTAAACGGAAGTTGTATGTTACACAGGCACACAGATTTCATGGCAATTAACATGCTTGAATGACATTTTGAGTAAAATTGATGTCCAGATGTGTAAAGAACATATGTTATTACTTGACAGTGTAACAGCAGGATGAGCCTGAACAGTCTGTCTGCAGCATGCTCTTATGCTTTGTCAGTACCTGGTTATTGGCCAGTTGGACCGTCTCACGAGTTGGCACTGCAAGTGTCAGGGGCAGCTGTGTTTTGTGATGCTTCATCATTGTTTAATGAAGATGGTTATTGTTGGAGGGAAGACATGACATAAGTTATATAAGTGATAACTGTAAGTCATTTGAGGCAGGGTAGTTTACTTCTCAATCAGTTAATCCTGTCTGGAAGTTACGGGCCTAAACTCTGTAGATAGATTTCCTGCGATTTAGATTGCTTGGCTGAAATTAAATAAACTTTGCAAGTATTCAAGCATTTGTTCATTATTTGGTTGTGTGTTTCCTGTAGGTACTATGTGCAAAGCCTAGTTTGGTGTCTCTATGATTGGCTAGAATGTTGTTACTAAAAGTGTAAAACCAGACCCTCACATGCTGGTAGTAGCAATCTGTGCTAGTGCAAGATAACAAAGTTAGTGATGTGTTTTCTGTGAACATGACTACTATTAATAATTTTGATTATATTCTCCGTGCAACTTGGTTACAGAGAGTCGCCGAGCCAATCCCCCGCAGCAGGAGAGTTAGACCCAGCAGCACAATTTGCAGAGGTGTGTAGCAGTTATACAGGAAAAAACATATGTTGGGGCAGTACTGTACATTCCAGTGCTTGCACCATGTTGAAAATAGCATAATAAAGCTATGTTTTGCAATATTTCAAGAAAATAACATGCTCTCATTTGGGAAATACCAACATTTAGGCACTCGTGTGGTAAACATAGTATGACATGGGCACTCATATAATATCCTCTATATATTTGTATGATCATGTACTACCTTGTACAATTTGATGTCCCTTTATGGACATACATATCATGCTAAAACAATTAAGGACACCTGTGTATTTTTATATGATAAAAGTTCATCTGTCATGGCCGATTGGTATTGCAACACACAGCCTACCAATATAGGGTTACTTTAACTTGTTTTGAGCAGTATATAGTGAGATACAGGTCTCTTACATTTAGAACATATTAAGCAAAGCCGATGAAGAATTGTATAGTAATAATACTCAAACATAGTTTTATGAATAATAACTCCATTGTTTAGTGATTGTATTTCTTCTTGTGTCTCTGTTTCTCCTTCTGTCACTGTCTTTCTTTGTTTTTCCAGCTATGGAGTAGAGCATTCCTAGATTCATTTAGAAATAATACAACTGATCGCAATGATAGTTCAGGGCCTTGGCCCCAGAACAGGGATTCAGATGAGGAGGAGCCCGAAGAAACCGCAGATGGTCGACGTCCCTTTCAGGTCCGATTTGCACCACGAACAAGGAAATTTTTCCTTATCCTGACTCATGCTCTTTTGCTTGTCTCCTTCCTCTTGCTAACATAGTGGAACACTTGTATCTCCCTAATTGAAGTTCCTCTTCAATGTAAAATCACTAATTAGTACACCACGAAGTTACCTCCCTTCCACAAGTTCTCTTCAATGCTGGAACCAGGGCCACCTCTACCCATGTGCCTCACTCTCTCCTTCTTCAGCCCAGTGAGCTGGACGAGAGAGCTCTGTGTCTCCACACACACTATATCCTTTGATTATATTTAGTTAGTTACCCTCGATAGAGATCTATAGAGGTTTAGCTAGTATCTTTCAACAATTATATATTGATATTTAGTCGTTTCTACTGTTTATGCACGGGACCGCGTGCTGTTGCAGTGGATTACGTTGATAAAAATTCTGTACTGTTGCACATTACGCTTTTTATTCTGCTGCTGATCCGCGATTTAATATGCCCTAGCTGTACTGCGCCATGTTTCATGTGATTCACGCTGCAGTATGCGATACTAATTTATCCAATTCTACCTTTAATAAATAATTACTTTGGCGCTTGAGACGCCGCAGCAGATAGGTCACGATGCAGAGTCTAGCATGACTGATACACCTGAACCCTCGCCAGTCTACTGCTGTTGGTCAATCCCTCCCGCCTGGGTTTCCGCTTAGAATGGTGGAGAGGCGCGGGACGAGTCCGCTTCCAAGAAGCCGCCCTGCTTCCCAGACATCCCTTCGCCGCGACTGAGGGGGGTATTCAACTAAGTCTACTAGAACTTTCAGCCGAGATTGTTCTCATCGCAGATTTGGGCCTGTATGATGATCAGCCGATCATCATTCCTGATGTACATCAAAGAATGACTGATGTCGGCAACAGTGATGTCAGCGCAGATCAACATTCGATGATCTTCCTGAGGGTCCCGCCGCTATTAACACTCAACGCAGACTTCGCGACCCCAGGGCAGCGCCGACCTCTGAGGGGAATTCAACGAAGTCTACTAGGACTTTCAACCGAGATTGTTCCAGCCGCTGAACTTGGCCTCTACGATGATCATCCCATCATCATCCTCGACGATGAGACAAGTAGCGACCGGTGATTAGCTACAATGACATCAGCAGAGATCGCCATGCAGCCTGATGTCTCTACACTGATGTCAGACGACTTTACCTGAGGGCCCCACCACTAACAGCGCGAGAGATGGCACCGACTACTTGGCCGCAGACCATCCCAGACGAAGCTACTACGGCAAATCATGGTCGTGATGGAGGGTCACTACAGACTGGAGAAGCAGCCAGCTCCAGAGTACGAGCCTTCGCCAAGGCTCCAACTTAGACAACACTCTAGAGGCACCTCCAGTCAACGTGAGCAGCTAAGACGATGCAGCCTTCGCTAAGGAAGTCGCAGACCACCTTGACGAAGGACCCAGATGTACAGCCTTCGCTAAGGCCTTCAAGGCGGATAGATCATCACATTCCTCGGCTTCATCCTTAGATGCAGACTCAGCCACCAGACCTCACGGAAGCCTTCGCTAAGCTCAAATCGCCGTTTCCCAGCACCGAACGAGAGGAAGCTTCACAAGGCGCGCTGCGCTGGCGCTGGTGGAAGGCATTCGCGAAGGCATTTCAAGGCACTCGGAAGGACACCAATATAGATCGCCATTTAACAGAGTCAAGGGACTACTCAAGAGCTTCGCAAGCTGTCAATAGTCTCCCGATCTCCTCGTGACATCACCACATCGATCGCTTCACAGGTTACCACACAAGTCTGCACACAAGTCTACATCACCTTCCTAGAGTGGCAGTACGACGCAGACATACCTGATGAAGGAAGACGACGAGATGCTATCACCCTACCTCCCGATCGAATCCGATTGCCGCGTAGCACAGAATCTAGACATAGCATCCCATAAAGCCACAAAAGTTCAGACACCATAATTGCCGAACTTTCACGCCTAGAAGTTTTCCACGACAACATGGACCCCTTCTTCAAGGCTTAAGACATCGATGAAAACTACAAGTTGATCATCGATATCAACAATAAGAACTACAATCGTGAATTGGTTCAGTTGAATCCATGATCTAGACGTGATGTTCGCTGGCCTAAATAGATCTAGAACGATCATTGAGACACTTATCACCAGATTTCGTGAACACTCGACTTCTGAAAAATGATAAGATGATCCACTCGGCCCTACTTATGCAGAACCAGCAAGTCCCAGGTCAGCCCGCTAAGGAGCTAGAGCCTCACCAGCTACAAGGGACGCCGCTGGAGGAGAAGCGCCACGAACTCCCACATCCTGTTAAACACAGAGGCCATTCATGCAAGCAAGCGCTATATATATATATATATATATATATATATATATTCTAATCGACTTTGATTCGATACCTTCGCTAAGGTCGCTAAGGCTAAGTGGCTCCAAGTCTACTTCACCAGTAGATCTAGAAGGGATACTTCGAGAGCTTCGCGGAAGTCTCCGGGCGCTCACCGAGGAAGTCTCCTCCAAGGTCTCCATATATACAGCCACTGGCCATATATAGCTACTCCTCAGTCCGTTTCAAGACATCGCATAAGTTGTCTATCAACTGTATGCCAGATGCCGCCTATAAGCCTACGCCAAGACAATTGCACAGGCTATTTACAACACAGAACGCCGCTGTATTAATTTGTCAACGACGCTTCATAGATCTTCACAGAAATCAACTATTCCGTGATAAATTGCTAGTATATGCAATCCCGGACGACGATATACGATTATCTACATGCGACTATTACGCGATATCTGCAGACAATTCAATATCGAAATTGAACAGCAGCCTTGTTACAGCGTTGCAGTATAACTCATAATCGCCAACATTTCTGAGAAGAAATATGTACAACAAATTCAGCTTTAATTCTACAATTATGACGATACATTCATGTATACAGTCTACAAGCTGACAACTTACAAGTTATTGTACCTTTATATATAAAGAAGTCGGAATTATATTCAAAACTGAAGTACTTTCACTTACAGCCAGGAAAATAACCTACCCAGCATTAATATTACAGAGCAAGGTATTTTATACCGGCTTTTGGCGCTTACCATTAATCCTCTAAACACGTATCACTCGGGTAACTTCGGAAGTTACGATGAAGACCGATGATTGTTCTAATATCAACGACGGCACTATATTATACAAGGTTCCTTTTCCTGCTACACCGTGACATCACAGCTGGTACTCTACAGAATCAAAATGCCTTATTCTGATTGGACCCCGATGAACAACGCCTCTACACAGAGGTCGAAAGCATAGTTCACAGTTCAAGACATAGGTTGCAAGTGACAACTTTATATCAATGAACGAAAGCAAGCCTCCTTACAGCCCAGTTAACCTGAACCTTCATGATTAGGCTGCTTTCTTCAGGTTAGAGACCTCCCCTGTCAAGTTTAGACAAGGGCACAGCAGTCAGGCGATTTTACATAAAGTTCATCGAGGACACAAACTCCCCGGTTAGGCACATACATCGTCAAGGACATCGCGAACGATTTACCTAGACGACGCGGATACAAGTGGATCGAAATCCACAGCGCTTCAGACTACACCTGAATTTCATCATCAAGCTACTAACACAACTAGATGGTTAGTAAACCTACTAAGTTTCTGTTTGGAGAATAAACGGAAGTTTCAATGCACCAACTTGGGGATATGAATATAGTGCTACAACACCTCACAAGTGAGGTTTATGAACATGCCTGGATGACATACTTGACTCCATGATACGATGATGCTATCACGCTGGCCAGCAAGAGCACTGTAAATTTATCTCCACCAAACCAAACAGGAAGAAAAAATACAACAGATTTTTTTCCTCTATCATCAACTTACGCAGAGTGTAGTCTCATCGCACTATATCTCCGCTTGGATCAGAACTGTCATACTACGTGCATACAAGACAGATGGACCTAATCCGAACCCTCCATGAGCTTTAATACTCTTGATATTAGAGCCCTAACTTCTACAATTTCATCTACACAAATGTTATTTGAAATAATGGAGGGTTTATTACTGTAGATCCGATATGGTGGTTGCCAACCATTATCTGAGAGATATCACCACCGAGGACATCTCAGGTATCCACCAATTCGATCCCATGGTCCTTGCACAACAGTTGATAGTTCCTCGGAGAAGATAAGTCAATCTTACAGATTTTACTTATCTTATAACAGTACTAAATAGCTTCATGCTATATATAATTTGCTTAAGCCTCGTTTTTTTATCATCACAGTGGTTACATGATAAATGCATTAGCTAACAAACTCTACAGAGTTTTTTTGGCTATTATATAATGTAGCTTAAGTCAAGTATATTTTAAGCATAGTACTATACTCATATTGTAAAAATACATTAGCTAACAAACTCTAATGGAGTTTTGCTATTATATAGGTAGCTTAAGCTCATTCATATCTTAAGCTCAGTACTATGTTTATATCATATAACTATATTAGCTAACAAACTCTAAAGAGCTTTTGCTATTTGGCTTAAGTTTCATCATATCTTAAGCAATATGGTTACATTATAACATGTATTAGCTAACAAACTCTATGGAGTTTTTTGCTATTATATATGTAACTTAAGCTTATTCATATCTTAAGCGCAGTACTATGTTTATAGCATATAGGTATATTAGCTATCAAAACTCTAAAAGAGTTTTTTGCTATTATATATTGGGCTTAAGTTTTCATCATATTTTAAGCTTTATGGTTACATTATATCATGTATTAGCTAACAAACTCTCACGGAGTTTTGCTATACATATGTAGCTTAAGGTTTCTTCATATCTTAAGCTCAATACTATGTTGATACCATATAAGTATATTAGCTATTAAACTCTAAAAGGTTTTTGTTATTATATATTTAGCTTAAGGTTTACTTCATATCTTAAGCTCAATACTAGGTCTAAATCAACATAATAAAATGTATTAGCTATCAAACTC